AAAGGTGCAAATTTCCAATGATGAATGTCATTATATTGTATACCTAAAATGTACCAATGATTAGAATGAGTAATCAATAATGCAAAATAGGAAGAAAAAGTCCAAAGGGGTAGGGGTATTGGGAAGGTAGGGAAAAGGAAAGAAGGGAAAGAAAAAAATGATGAGATGGAAAAAATGGAAATAAAGTCTTTGTAAATAGGGAAGGGTGGAGGAGGCGAAGGGAGGACTAGGAATGGGGAAAAAAGAAGAACCAAGTTGCATCATGTAAAGGTACAATTCCCAATGAGAAATGTAATTGTGTTGTATACCTACAGTGTACCAATAAAAGAATTTAACAACAACAACAAAAATACCTAAGATTGGGTAACTTATGTAGAAAAAAAGTTTATTTTGCCTCACAGTTTAAAACACTGGGAAGTCCAAGAGTAAGGCTTATAGGTCTTGTGCTGTTTTAATTCATAGCAGGAAGCAGAAATGGCAGCTGGTGCATGTGAAAGGGAAAAAGCCCAAAGGACTGGCTGACTTATAATGACTAACCCACCCCTGCGCAAACCAACCCACACTTGTGAAATCTACCAATGTGTACCAGGATCAACCAGCTCTTGGGAGGATATACACGCTCGTGTGATGATATATGTATTTGCATGAGAATGCATCCACTCATACTTCAGATTCAGTCAGTTTGATAATTTAATTTGTTTTCAAACAGCTATAAGGATGCACCTAGTGTTAGTACCTAGACACTGTCAACACAACTGCATTGAAAAGCTACACTGAGAAAAGATAAATTGAGATGGCTACTTATAGAACTTGTGGCATGATTTCTAATCATTATGTGTCCAGGATCCAAAAAAATCCAACTACCTTTTAGACGAAATGCTACATGATGGTGACCACATTAGTTTCCATATGTTGAATTGGCCACTTCTCATTTGTTCATATAGCAGAAATAAATTTAAAATAATCTTTTAAAATGTCCAAGCTAAAGGCAAAATACATCAGCAGAAGTACGGCCAAGGCTGATAAAGTATGAGCCGACTTCCACAGTGTAATTCTATTCTCCCTTCTATTTCACGCTTTTCTTTATTTAGTTAACCTTCCAAAATATAGTAGTAGAGAAAAGAAACTCTACAACTGGAGTATTTCACAAATAAGTGCTTTATAAATAGATTTGAAATTAAATGAGATGTTTAACTTTACATTCATTTTTCTTCACCATAAATAAGAACAGGCAACTGATAAGTGAATATACTTGATTATACTTTGTATCTTTGAACTTTATACTTAGATTTAAATACCCACAAAGCTGGGCTGGGAATTTAGCTCAGTGGCACCGCTCCTGCCTCACAAGTGCAAGGTCATGAGTTTGATCCCTGGTACCAAAAAATATATATACATATAAGAAATATATATACATACATAAAGTTGAACCTTAAAAGCACATCCTATGCAATATTAAGAACCATCTGAGTGTGTGAGTATATATAAATATGATATTTAGGTTCTAAAATAAATCTTCAGTGAGGCATGGTGGCACACGCCTGTAATCCCAGCACTTGGTAGGATGAGGCAGGAGGATCACTGTGAGTTCAAGGCCAGCCTGGGCAACATAGTGAGTTCAAGACCAGCCTGAATGCTTAGCAAGACCCTGCCTCAAAAAATAAGCAATTAATTGATTCAATTTTTAAAATAAAATAAATCATCATTTTACATAGCAAGAATATAAAGACCACTGAGATATTGCAAACGTGATCCTTTTTTAAATATGTTAAACAGATTAGCCTTCTAAATCTAAACAGAATCAATCATAATATATTCATGTCTAATAAGTATCACACCATGGAACAAACATCACAGGAGGCTGGATGGGTGGGTGGGTGACTAGTTTTACAAATGGCAAGAGATCTGATGTAACACTTTCTCACCTGTGAGGTATTCTCTGGTTCTAAATGCACACTACTCCTACTCTGATTAAGGCACACAGTGCTCTGCCAGGTCGTCTATGCTTAACATTAACTAGCTGTACATAAGCAGAATGTTCTGCCACAGTGCAAGGTCCAAAAACGGATCTGTGCTGCATTCCCCAGACACAGTGGTTCTGGCCCACCCTGCTCCACACTGAGTCCGTAACAAGCAGCTCAGAGACTCTGTTGGTCTCCTCCAGGCTCTAACTGCCTCCCTCTTAGTTTTCCAGGGCCCCTGGTACCTGGGAGTCTCTGGTGAGATTCCTTTTCAGCCTTCGGATTGCACAGACTGCTTGGGGAGGCAGGGGCAAACCTGTCTCAAGTCCAGAAGCCCGGCAGCAGTTGGTCCTTGGGAGTTCATTCCTTCTGTGGAAGGGCTCCAAGTAAACAGGCACAGATCTTGGAGAATTTCAGGCCCATGGCCCTGAAAGAAATTTGGGTTATTATGGTGGGCCAGGAATGTGGCTCACCAGTGTGATCAAGTCCCCAGGGCAAAAGACACAACAAGGCCACTGTAGAGTGCTGGTTTTCTTAGGCTGTCGTAACACACTACCACTTACTAGGTGTCTTAAAACAACAGAAATTTATTCTGTCAGAGTTCAGAGTTGCTAGAAGTCTGAAATCAATGAGTTAGCAGGCCTAGGCAGGCATCTCTTGACATTGTGAGGATTCGTTCCAGGGCCACCTATGGATACCACAAATCTGTGCATGCTCAAGTTCCTTGATAAAATGGCATTGTATTTACATATACACTCTGCACATCCTCCCCTACACTTTAAATCATCTCTAGATTACTTATAATACATCACTCCTTGGCATTCCTTAGATGCTAAACACATCTCTCCAATCGTTGCCTCTGTCATTAGATGGCCTGTTCTCTATGTGTCTGCTTCTCTCCTCTATTTACAAGGACTCCATTCACACTGGATTGAGACCCTAATCCTCTATGACATCGTTTTAGTTTAATTATATCCACAAAAATCCTACTTCCAAATAAGGTCATGGTTACAAGTACTGGTGACTAAGTCTACAACCTGTGTTTTGGAAGAACACAATTCATCCCAGCATTTGAAATGGCTCGAAGCAGTGGCAACAAAATCATAGCTCTTTGCCCTCTCCAACCAAGCTCTCCTCAAAGGTCTGGTCATGAAATCAGTGGGGAGTCTGGCTCCTACCTGCTATCTGCTTCTTTGAGTTCCAGCAACTCAAAGGGAAAGGTGATTGATTATCCACTACCATGCTGAGTCATGGGTTCACAGTTAACCAGGCCCAAACTCAAAGAATTTCTTCTGTTATCATTTATTTTTGTATTTTATTCCCCATAAATCATTTTGTTTCTGATAAACAGCCACATCTTAGGATACACAACACCCATAAGAAAGCTAGAGCACATTGGTTTTAGGACTCATTCTATAATTTTCCCATTGCTGTAAATTACCACAAATGTAGTGGTTTAAAAATAATTCAGATGGATGTGAATATTTGAGGAGGGTCAGTGAGGAGGACATGGTCCTCTATCCTTTTTATTCTTTACTGAAGAAGCTGTATTTTCAAATCTTCAAAGTACAAAAAGATATTGCTTTACTTTGTGTCAGGATATCAGGGCCCACCACCCTGCATTCCCTCATGCATTCAGGTTGATGTTCTGCCTCCGTTTAAAAGGCAACATGCGTAAAACTTACTAAAGAAGATAAAACAAAAATTCTCTTAATGAAATATAATTTCTGATAATCTTCTCTGTTCCAGGATAGACAAAACCAATATAGTAAAAATGGTCATATTTCCAAAACTGATATACAGATTTAATGCAGTCCCAATAAAATACCAATACCATTTCTCATAAAATGAGGGAAAAAAAATAAACTAAAATGAGGGCAAACAATCCTAAAATTCATACAGAACCAGAAGAGAGAATAGCAAAAGCAATCCTGGGTAACAAGAGCAAATCAAGCAGGATCACAATCCTGGATTTGAAGTTACATTACAATGCTACAGAGACAAAACCAGGAAGGAACTGACACAAAAATGGACTTATGGATTAGTGGAACAGAATAGGGGATGTAGAAACAGCCACCAATCTTTGACAAGAAGGCCAATAACATACACTAGAGGAAAGTAACCTCTTTAATAAACGGTGCTGGAAAAATTGGCTATCCACATGCAGAAGATGCATATCTCTCACCAGGTACTAAACTAAAATCAAAATCATCAAGGATCTAAATGTTAAAATAGAAATACTTAATCTGTTGAAAGATAAAATAGGTAAAACTCATGAAGACATAGGTGTAGGCAAGGACTTTTTGAATGGAACACCAATGGCACAAGAAATAGTACAAAGAAGCAACAAATGGGATCATATCAAATTAAACATTTTCTAAACAGCAGAAGAAAAAAAAACAAACAGTGAAGAGACAACCTACAAAATAGGAAAAAGGTTTCCAGCTATTCCTCAGACAGAGAACTAATATCTAGAATATACAAAGAACTCAAAGAATAGATTGTCCAAAATAAAAAACCCAATCAATAAATGGGCAAGTGAAATGAATAAACACTTCTCATAAGAAGTATAAATTGCCAATAAATATATGAAGAAATGCTCAACACTGCTGGTCAGTAGAGAAATGAAAAAAAACAAAACTGAGGTTCCATCTTACTCCAGAAAGAATGGTCATCATCAAGAAATCAAACAATAGCAAATGCTGGCAAAACTGCAGGTAAATGGAACACTGCTACATTATTGGAAGGAATGTAAACTAGCACAACCACTATGGATATCACTATGGAGATTTCTTAGAAAATTAAAACTAGAAACTCCATTCTTCTCAGCTATTCTCCTTCTATGTATCTTCCTGAAAGAGTTAAAGTTATCGTATTACAGTGATGCATGCATAACCATGTTTGTAGCAGCACAATTTGTAATAGCTAAAACCTAGAAGTAGCTTACATGTCCATCAACAGATGAATGGATAAAGAAAATGAAGTATTTATACACAATGGGGTATTACCCTGCCACAAGGAAGGATAGACTTGAGTCATTTGTAGGAAAATAGATGCACTCTGAAACCATAATTTTAAATGAAGTAAATCAGACACGCAGGTTAAATATCACATGGTTTCACTTACGTGAGAAACCCCAAATACAAAGAGCAAACAGATAATAGGAAGTAGGGAGATACAGTATATCTTTTTTCAAATGGGAAGAGGATCATGAGATGGAGAGAGAAGGGAGGGAAAGGGGATAAAAAAAGAATTGAGATGTGTTATATAAATGTACCAAATCCCTATAAGAAATGTAATCATTATGTACTACAAACATACTCATAAAAAATAAAAAATAAAAAATTCTGATGATCACTTATTTGATGGGAATATATGATTGTACACTAATAGGCCTTGCCAGCTCTTGTGCAAGTAACACAACCAAGAGATCTTTGTGAACAAATTTGCTGATTCAAAGTGCTGTTTTCTAGAAATTTATTGATCTTACAAACTCTTCTACAACCTTTATTTTTTTAGTCTACAAATATTTCCTGAATACCAAGTATGTGCCAGGCACCAAAAATACAGATGGACAGAGAGGTATATTTTATTCCCTCATGAGAATAAAATAACCAACTGGTGGAAGAGACAGACACCTCACATAAACAAATAAATTGTGGAGTGAGTCTTATAAATGTTTTACAGCAGATAAAGTGAATTTAGGAATGAGATTAAACAGATGAGATCAGCATTAAGTACTAAAGCTAGAGAAGATTGATTTTCATGAGCATTTGTGTCCCTAGGGCTGGGCCAGTGCACTGTCTTTAGAAAGGTTAAAAGCAATAATAAAACTTAGCCCAGCATGTTTTTTATTATTACCGTGCATTGGCAATTTTTGATGATGTTGATGATAAAATACACCTCTCAGAAAAAGAGAAATACTTTGTTGAAGTTCTAAATAATTGCTACAGTTACTGTTGAGCTTGAAGACTATGTGCGTGAGCTATAGGTTATCATATTTCATTAGTTTTTTTTTTGAATACACATTATATGTGGAAGTTAATTTGAAGAACTAGGTGTATAATTAGATCCCAACGTATACAGACTCAGTCTAAACCTTTCTATCATTAAGTTGCTTTTCTCAAGTATTTTGTCACAGTAATGGGAAACTGATTAACACATGGCATAAATAATCTGAGTTCAGCTCAAACTCTTTTTGTATTTCCAAGGCTTTGGTTCTTTTGCATAATATTCAGTCCTCCTGATGTTCTAAACACAGATCATATGTAAAGCATTCAGTTATGTTCATACTGAGGACAGGAAATTTAAAAGAAAGGATTTACTTGTGAGTTTCTTTCCTATTTCTAGGGTAATTGCTCCTAAGCTCACATAAAAATTAAACACAACTAGAAAATGATATTCTGGACATGAACCTCTATTCTACTGAAGGACATGATACTGCTGAAATTATAGACTCATACTTTTTGGGTAAAAGTCAAAGAAATTAATCTCTTGTTTGTGCTATCTCAATTACTTTTCTTATTGCTAGGGCAAAATACCTGGCACCCACAAGTTAAAAGAAGAAAGGTTTATTTTACCTCCCAGTTTGTAGAGGTTTCAGTTCATAGTTAGCTGGTATCAAGGCAGGGCAGCATGGCAGAAAAGAGTTTATAGTGTGGCAAGCAGGAAGCAGCTAGCAGTGAGCCTTCAATAGCCTTTTCCCTTTCATTCCATTCAGGCTACAAGCCTATTGGAAGGTACCAGCCACACCCAGGGTGACCCTTCCTATTATCCACACCCAGAACCCTGCTAAGCCAGTGGACTAATCCAGTTACCACACTCATAATCCAGCCACTCCCAAAAGCCTCACCTATGAGTGAAAGAGGCTTTGAGGGGATATCTTTATAGAAGCCATAACAGGTTCTTTTTGCAAATCATTCTCCAAATCTTTAAAGGGTTCACTGTCTTGGAACAGTTTCTTTATGTGTGATATTTTCTGAAATTTGGAAAAAATTATTCTCTCTATCAATTTTGAAAAGATTCATTGATGGGAAAGACTGTAGATTATAAGTATAACAAGTTAAACATTTCCCCAGGCACAATAGTGTGTTCATTTTGAAGCTCTGTATACAGTGAAGATAAATTTTGAAAAGTTAATTCCAATCTTTGATGTACTACCCTATCCGAAACAAAATGTATACACAAGAAGATCAGTAGGTTTTACTCTTTGCTAAAGCTATTTTTCATTCCTGTGTTAGCTATTTCCTAGAGCAAATTTTTAGAGGTTAATCAAAAACACACACAGTTCTAGAGTCAGAAGCAGCTTTGAAAAAATGTGCATGAAACACCAAGCTTTAAAATCTTTTCCTTGAAAAAAATCAATGCACAGAACTTTTGGAGAAGCCAAATAAATACGCAATGTAAAAAAATGTAAGAAAATGGACA